GTAGTCCAGTGTTGTATGATAGTCCAGTGTTGTATGGTAGTCCAGTGTTGTATGGTAGTCCAGTGTTGTATGGTAGTCCAGTGTTGTATGGTAGTGTTGTATGGTAGTCCAGTGTTGTATGGTAGTCCAGTGTTGTATCGTAGTCCAGTGTTGTATGATAGTTCAGTGTTGTATGGTAGTGTTGTATGGTAGTCCAGTGTTGTATGGTAGTCCAGTGTTGTATGGTAGTCCAGTGTTGTATGGTAGTGTTGTATGGTAGTCCAGTGTTGTATGGTAGTCCAGTGTTGTATGGTAGTCCAGTGTTGTATGATAGTCCAGTGTTGTATGGTAGTCCAGTGTTGTATGATAGTCCAGTGTTGTATGGTAGTCCAGTGTTGTATGGTAGTCCAGTGTTGTATGGTAGTCCAGTGTCGTATGGTAGTCCAGTGTTGTATGGTAGTGTTGTATGGTAGTCCAGTGTTGTATGATAGTCCAGTGTTGTATGGTAGTGTTGTATGGTAGTCCAGTGTTGTATGGTAGTCCAGTGTTGTATGGTAGTCCAGTGTTGTATGGTAGTCCAGTGTTGTATGATAGTCCAGTGTTGTATGGTAGTCCAGTGTTGTATGATAGTCCAGTGTTGTATGGTAGTGTTGTATGGTAGTCCAGTGTTGTATGGTAGTCCAATGTTGTATGATAGTCCAGTGTTGTATGGTAGTGTTGTATGGTAGTCCAGTGTTGTATGGTAGTCCAGTGTTGTATGGTAGTCCAGTGTTGTTTGGTAGTCCAGTGTTGTATGGTAGTCCAGTGTTGTATGGTAGTCCAGTGTTGTATGGTAGTGTTGTATGGTAGTCCAGTGTTGTATGGTAGTCCAGTGTTGTATGGTAGTCCAGTGTTGTATGATAGTCCAGTGTTGTATGGTAGTCCAGTGTTGTATGATAGTCCAGTGTTGTATGGTGGTCCAGTGTTGTATGGTAGTCCAGTGTTGTATGGTAGTCCAGTGTTGTATGGTAGTCCAGTGTTGTATGATAGTCCAGTGTTGTATGGTAGTCCAGTGTTGTATGGTAGTCCAGTGTTGTATGATAGTCCAGTGTTGTATGGTAGTCCAGTGTTGTATGGTAGTCCAGTGTTGTATGGTAGTCCAGTGTTGTATGGTGGTCCAGTGTTGTATGGTAGTCCAGTGTTGTATGGTAGTCCAGTGTTGTATGGTAGTGTTGTATGGTAGTCCAGTGTTGTATGGTAGTGTTGTATGGTAGTCCAGTGTTGTATGGTAGTGTTGTATGGTAGTTCAGTGTTGTATGGTAGTCCAGTGTTGTATGGTAGTCCAGTGTTGTATGGTAGTGTTGTATGGTAGTCCAGTGTTGTATGGTAGTGTTGTATGGTAGTCCAGTGTTGTATGGTAGTGTTGTATGGTAGTGTTGTATGGTAGTCCAGTGTTGTATGGTAGTCCAGTGTTGTATGGTAGTCCAGTGTTGTATGGTAGTGTTGTATGGTAGTCCAGTGTTGTATGATAGTCCAGTGTTGTATGGTAGTGTTGTATGGTAGTCCAGTGTTGTATGGTAGTCCAGTGTTGTATGGTAGTCCAGTGTTGTATGGTAGTCCAGTGTTGTATGATAGTCCAGTGTTGTATGGTATTCCAGTGTTGTATGATAGTCCAGTGTTGTATGGTAGTGTTGTATGGTAGTCCAGTGTTGTATGGTAGTCCAATGTTGTATGATAGTCCAGTGTTGTATGGTAGTCCAGTGTTGTATGGTGGTCCAGTGTTGTATGGTAGTCCAGTGTTGTATGGTAGTGTTGTATGGTAGTCCAGTGTTGTATGGTAGTCCAGTGTTGTATGGTAGTCCAGTGTTGTATGGTAGTCCAGTGTTGTATGGTAGTCCAGTGTTGTATGGTAGTCCAGTGTTGTATGGTAGTCCAGTGTTGTATGGTAGTGTTGTATGGTAGTCCAGTGTTGTATGGTAGTCCAGTGTTGTATGGTAGTCCAGTGTTGTATGGTAGTCCAGTGTTGTATGGTAGTCCAGTGTTGTATGGTAGTGTTGTATGGTAGTCCAGTGTTGTATGGTAGTCCAGTGTTGTATGGTAGTCCAGTGTTGTATGGTAGTCCAGTGTTGTATGGTAGTCCAGTGTTGTATGGTAGTCCAGTGTTGTATGGTAGTCCAGTGTTGTATGGTAGTCCAGTGTTGTATGGTAGTGTTGTATGGTAGTCCAGTGTTGTATGGTAGTCCAGTGTTGTATGGTAGTCCAGTGTTGTATGGTAGTCCAGTGTTGTTTGGTAGTCCAGTGTTGTATGGTAGTCCAGTGTTGTATGGTAGTCCAGTGTTGTATGGTAGTGTTGTATGGTAGTCCAGTGTTGTATGGTAGTCCAGTGTTGTATGGTAGTCCAGTGTTGTATGATAGTCCAGTGTTGTATGGTAGTCCAGTGTTGTATGATAGTCCAGTGTTGTATGGTGGTCCAGTGTTGTATGGTAGTCCAGTGTTGTATGGTAGTCCAGTGTTGTATGGTAGTCCAGTGTTGTATGATAGTCCAGTGTTGTATGGTAGTCCAGTGTTGTATGGTAGTCCAGTGTTGTATGATAGTCCAGTGTTGTATGGTAGTCCAGTGTTGTATGGTAGTCCAGTGTTGTATGGTAGTCCAGTGTTGTATGGTGGTCCAGTGTTGTATGGTAGTCCAGTGTTGTATGGTAGTCCAGTGTTGTATGGTAGTGTTGTATGGTAGTCCAGTGTTGTATGGTAGTGTTGTATGGTAGTCCAGTGTTGTATGGTAGTGTTGTATGGTAGTTCAGTGTTGTATGGTAGTCCAGTGTTGTATGGTAGTCCAGTGTTTTATGGTAGTGTTGTATGGTAGTCCAGTGTTGTATGGTAGTGTTGTATGGTAGTCCAGTGTTGTATGGTAGTGTTGTATGGTAGTGTTGTATGGTAGTCCAGTGTTGTATGGTAGTGTTGTATGGTAGTCCAGTGTTGTATGGTAGTGTTGTATGGTAGTGTTGTATGGTAGTGTTGTATGATAGTCCAGTGTTGTATGGTAGTCCAGTGTTGTATGGTAGTCCAGTGTTGTATGGTAGTGTTGTATGGTAGTTCAGTGTTGTATGGTAGTCCAGTGTTGTATGGTAGTGTTGTATGGTAGTCCAGTGTTGTATGGTAGTCCAGTGTTGTATGGTAGTGTTGTATGGTAGTTCAGTGTTGTATGGTAGTCCAGTGTTGTATGGTAGTGTTGTATGGTAGTTCAGTGTTGTATGGTAGTGTTGTATGGTAAAGACAAGTCTTCCTTATACTAACATCAGAGTAACAGTGGCAGTGAATTATCACTAATGACCTTTAAGACGTAATCTTAAACACAACAACAGTTTGCCTGATCAAGTTATGGCAGCAGAATGTGTTCATGGGAGGATTATAGGAGTTTACGTGACTCGTTATGGTGCCATACAGCCAATTATAGTACGTCGTGTTGGGAATTTATGGGACTGATTCCAAGGACGCCTGTTCGAGCCCACGGTATGACCCTAATCTTCTCCTTAGCCAGGAAATGGGCATTTAGAATTAGTCCTTAAAAGCCAGGAAATAGAAATTTTGAATTAGTACCAAAAAACTGAAAATAAAAATGTAGAATTTCTGCCAAAAAAGCCAGGTTATGGTGATTTTAGAATTAGAGATGTGATAATGAATCTCAGAAGATCTAAACGTTCTCAACTAAGCAATTGATGATGAGGTCAACAGACACTTTAGAGTTTTGATGACAACGGTGAATGCGTCCGTGCATGGATGTTGTTGTGTTGATGTAGGGAGAACCACGATCGTGGGATGGGTTGCGCCCCGGCTGCCCGATACCGGGAAATAGCGGAGGGATGGGGTCCCTATAGTCTCTTCAGGCCATAGACCCTACAATCTCCTCAGGCCACAAATTTTACAGTCTCTTCAGGCCGCGGACATGACGGATGAAGCGGAAGGTATGGTGAAGGATGTCATGACGGACGTCTTCGTCTCTCACACCTGCCCCGTCAAGGAGAACGGGAACTGTGAGGCGGGGAATATTCAGCCTACGAACGGCACTCTGTAGTCTGACGCGAGCGCTATGAAATCGAGGGCAGTGAAGGTGCTCCACTGTATGCTCCTGGGTCGGACACCACTGGCAATATGGGGAATCTACCAGCCGTAGACGATGGAGATGTGCGACCAGGCAGGTGTGCCCAATCCGGAGACGAGTGATGGCAGTGTCGAGGAGTCGAGAATGATGACGAGTCCATGGACGCGGGGAGGAGTCCTCCCGGAGACCCGCCAGAGAGGAGGACCTGAGTTCTGGCTCCATCATTGCCTCCCAACTCGCGAGGCCGCCCGGACTTGCGGGAGAATTTCGGAAAGGTGTAGTGACACATTTGTAGAGTCATGGGGAGCATGCGCCATCCCTGCTGCTGCGTCGACCTCCTCATTGCCTTTAATACCGACATGTGACGGAACCCATTGGAGATAGACAGACCAACCCGGAGTACCAGAATAATACAGCAGAATATACCAGAATATATAATATAAAAAGTGCACAGAAACCGGAATGAGCTCTTTTGCCCATGGAGGCACCAGTGAGATGATCGGGCCAGGGGTGAGTACAGGGACGGGAAGGGAAAACTGTGAATATGCATCCAAGGCCCGGACGACGAAAGCTAACTGACGACGTCGGGAGCGTCCAGCCGGCACATTCCACCAGTTAGCCTCAAGCTGGAGGCGAGTAAGTGGATGGGTTGCAGGGAGACGCACTATCTGTTGAAACTGGCGGCAGAGGGCGAGAAGACGTTCAAAGTGCAGGGGCCATAACCCCAACTCGACATGGAGAGAGACAACTGACGAGGAGGGCATAGCTCCTAGTGCTGAGCAAAGGGCACCTTTTTGAATGGGATCCAGCCTTGTCAAGACCGATGATGCTGCTGAGCCATACACTTCACTCGCATATACGATCTTGCTACGAATTGTCAAGACCGATGATGCTGCTGAGCCATACACTTCACTCGCATATACGATCTTGCTACGAATTGTCAAGACCGATGATGCTGCTGAGCCATACACTTCACTCGCATATACGATCTTGCTACGAATGAAAGCCTTATAGAGCTAGGAGCGACTCCCGTGAAGCCCCACATGCCGCACCAGAGAGGCGTTTCATGATGTTCACGCGACGAAGGCATGAGGCCCAAAGGTAATCCACATGATGCCTCCACGTCAGCCGAGGGCCATCTAGAACGACCCCCAGCCACCTGTGTTCCGTAGCGATCGGGAGACGACGGCCCCCGATGGTCACCACTGGCTGGTCTGGTTCATCGGGATAATGGTGAGCCCCTTCCCCAGCACAACTGCAGAGAACACAGTCAGGGTGTTTTGCAGGGAGCCTTGTGCCTCCAGGGGAGTGGCACCATCCACCACGAGGGTTACGTCATTGGCATAGGCTAAAACCTGGGCCCCCAGGAATACCAGGAGATCAGACAGAAGAATAGAGAATAATAGCGGGCTGAGAATTGCTCCCTGGGGGACACCGCGCAAGACAGGGTGGGACGTGGAGACGACTCCATCAACCGCCACTTTGAATGAGCGGCCCTGTAGATAGTTTTGGAACCACCCCAACACCGGACCCGAGAGGCCTATTCAAGCCAGGCTATGAAGGACAGAAGAATGAATCACAGTCAAATGCACTCTTGATGTCGAAGAATGTTGCAAGAAGCACTCTTCTCCGGCGATAAGTGTCCATTATTCGATGTTCCAAGGAGAGGAGGCAGTCCATCGTGCTTCTTCCCGGCCGAAATCTATTGATACCCTCTAGTAGGAGACCCGAGGTTTCCACCACCCATTGTAGTCGGGTGTGAACAAGGCGTTCCATCAATTTCCCTAGACATGGAAGCAGACTTATGGGCCGATATGAACTCGGGATAGACGGATCCTTCCCAGACTTGGGTAATGGTAATAGAATGGGGTGTTTCCACGGGTCAGGGAAGACACCAGAGTACCAGCAGACGTTGTAGAAGTGAAGGAGGTGGGACTGAAAGATCCTGGGCGCCCTCCGAAGAAATTCATATGAGACGTTGTCTATCCCTGGCATAGTGCCCAACCTAGATAGTGACAGGGCCTCCTCAAGCTCAACAAATGTAAATGGACGATCCAGGTCCTGAGCTAGTCCTATACCCTGTCGGGAGCCCCGTCCTATGGAACTCACAGAAAGAAGCGGGGGAACAGTAAACATCCTCGAAGTGGTCAGCCAAAAGTTCGGCTATTTGTACTTCCCCCAGGCTCCCATTACCATTGGGGTCTCTGAGTGGAATGGAAGGCTGGAAGTACCTCCCTGTCATCTTGTGAACAGAGACCCAGGCTCCTGCAGAGGAGAAGTCGAATCGCAGAGAGGCACAGTAATCAGCCCAGGACTTCCGTTTGGCAAAAGGACTGTTCGCCTACACCTGGCGTCCGCTCTGCAGAAGGTCTGCCGCTTCAGTGGAGTAGGGTGGTGCCACCACGAATTCCATGCACGCCACCGGTCCAGTACTGCCTGCCGACATTCAGGGGTCCACCACAGTGCCCCACAGCGGAAGGGATTGGTGGTCTGGCCCCCTAGTCTTCCTAAAATGCCGAGAGCCTACACTGAAGAGGGTCTCGGAGAGAGCATCCGCTGACCCATGCAGATCTGCAGTAACTGGGGGAAGGGTCGACCATAGTCATCCGCATCATAGCCAAGCAACCTTTCCTCCGAGAAGATCCACTTGGATCTTCAGGTGATCAGAGCAGGACAAACAGTGCCCCCGACGGAGATGACGGTGGGCAGGTGATCACTACCCAGGTACAGCCGGTCCATATCTGCGCCATCATGAAGGAGCCTCTTCCAATGCAAAGATCGAGCGTTGAAGTATGGCCATTGAGCGGGTCTATCCGGGTTCCCAAACCTGGCGGCGTCAGTAAGAAGAGGTCTGGAGAAACTGACACAGGTCTCGGCCAGTCGTGTTGTAGTGGCGACTCAATGGCACAGGTTGCCATGATGGGTGGCGAGTGTTAAAGTCACCCATGACGAGGCATGTGTCTGTGATCAGACCAAAATAGTGTTCTAGTTCCTTCACCATTACCAGTAGACAGGGGTTATACAGTCCTCCAAAGGTGCCCCACCCATGGGAGAGGGCCACCTTCACTGCCATGAACTCTAAATGCCCACCTGGGAAGGAGTGAATCCGGAGCATGGAGCTCGGAACTGAGTCCCTGACCAAGAGGGCAAGTTCCCCTCCACCCCGTACTGGCCGATCTTGTCCATAGACCGAATACCCCGGCACCGTGAAGGAAAGATCGTCAGAAAGCCGAGTCTCACAGAGCCCCACGATCAACGGTGGTGCACTGGTGATAAAATTGCGTAGAAATTGCGTCTTCTTAAAAAGGGAACGGCATTAAAAAACACCAGACTATTCTCAGGATGGGGTGCCATTATCCCTGAAATACAATAGCTAACTTTCTGACCACCTGTACACAAATGTCTCCAAAGGAGGAACCACTAGAAAAAGCCATAAAGTCCTCATACAAAGTAAGTAAAATGTGGCATCAATGACATCCAGTCAAAAGGCTGTTGAGCAATGCTTCTCTCTGCCTGACGGAAGCGGTGATGAGCTCGCGAACCCTCTTGACGGCATCTGTGCCTGGTGGGTGCTTCACTCTGGGCCTCATGTTCCACCGGCGTCACAATCCCCTGGGAAAGTGCCTGGGGGACCAGAGGATCATCAGGACTATCTGATGGAGCAGTACCTCCTGATCGATGGGTGTGTCGACGACATCAGTGCTGGCTTCTCTGGGGAGAGGCAGGAGGGTGACGAGTGCCAGGCTCCGGCCGAGAATGAGCGTCCATGTCTGAATCCGTGATGGAGTTTTCGTCCATATCGATGGGACCCCGGAGGGAAGATCGATTAGCAGCCTGGGCGTATGAGGGATATGGCTGGGACAGGCAAGAGCGTGTGCTAGAACCTACTTGTGAAGAGGCCCGACCAGGGGGGAACCCGGAGGCGAGAAGAAGCGATAGGCTGATTGAGGGTGCGCAACTTCTGGGACAGCTCATGTTGAGGGGTCCCCGCTGCTTTATGATCGATGTCCAACTGGAGGGCCTCAAGATATACAGAGCAATTCTTGGACATAACCTTGTGATGGCCATGACATAAAAAGCAGCGAGGTGCATCAGAGCACCCACCGTTATCTCTGTATGGCCTGTTTTGCTGCAGTTTGCACAGCGCGCTGCATTACGGCTGGTGAGACAACTGTGGCCCAAAAGATGGCAAGCATAGCATCGTAACACAGGGAAGTTATAGGGGTGGACCTGATACGAGGTCCTGTGTAGTGCCACCCGGTCAGGGAGGGGCCCATCGAACTTTACACGGGCCATGGATGTCGGCCCTGCTGCTCCGCAAATCCTGGTAACTTCCAATAATCCCGCTGATGCACCCCATAACACCTGCAGAGCGGCCTGGATGTCATCCACTTCATCACTCTGGTCAATTGGGCCAATCTTCCCATACCACGCCCGAGACGCCTCCTCCTCCTGTGACAATACTTGTCGACACCTGACAGGCCAGTCCCCAACTTGATAATGTCGAATACACATTCGTGCGATAGAGCCTCCTTTCTGATGTGTAGCATCTTTCTGATGCTGCACCCTACCCAGGGTATGCACGGTTTCAGGCAGGCAATATTACCACAATACAGACGCCTCAATTGCTGCACTTACGGTACTAAATTTGCACTGTACGCACTGACCTGTTGTTGACTGGATTAGGACAACCACAAACGAGGAATGAGATACCACAGAAGGAAGGTCTTCTGAAGGCGAAGACTTCCTCTTAGCATCTCGCTCTGGGGCAGCGTCAGCCGGCTCATTTTCCAACAGACGTTTTCCTCTCTGGGACTCTCTGGGATGTCCATGGCGCCCCTACTCGGGGAGGCGTCCATTAGGGAGGCTCCGGCCTCCCCCGGAGCTGTGAGCCCCTGGGTAGCTGCAGTGAGCACACACTGGCCCAAAGAAGCCAGCTGAATTCAAATATGATCTCCAGGTGAGGTGTGGGAAGAAAGTCCAGCCAGGAGCGTTCAATCCGCGCGCCAAGATGGCCGATCTTCGCGCGGGAATCAGTGCATGGATGTGTTAGATGAATGAGGATTCACTTGATAAATACAGAATGCTTAATAAAAACAGCTAAGACTATTCTAATAGTTGTTCAAAAGTATGAATAATTATGTATATTAAGACATACTTGATGAATCCAGAGACAGGATTCATCAAAATATTGACGAAACATGTACATCTTTCAACAGTAATGGTGGTTTTGTTTACATAAACAGTTTACAATGTTGTAAACTCCACAACCCGAGGTTATTAGTGTTGTAAACAACCTCGTAGTGCTTCCCAGCTCATTAACTGTTTACAATACTGTAAACATACACACAACTGCCACGACTGAGGAAAGATGTAGAGGTTTTGTAAAGGAGTTACGAACACGCTTGACGAATCCTGGCTCTGAAACATCACATCAAAGGGGTCGAATACCAAGGCCCCTGAAGTACCTGATGGTCTCCAGGGGCATCTCTGATGGTCAGAGACCGGGCCACGGGGCTCGCTGATCTTCGGAACCAACGAATAGGTACATATAGAGGGGCTACCAATACTACTAATGCCAATGCCTTCCCATTGGAGACTTTCGGCGCCATGGAGAGCGGGAGGGCTTGCTGCATGGATAACAGCTTCAGCACAACTCCATAGTCTCCTGAGACTGATGGAGGACTACTACTACTACTACTAGTCCCCGGAACAGTCCCCCGGGCCATCCGAAGGATCCGGTGTGCCGAAGTTCTGTGGTCGGATCTTCATCTGGAGCCAGCGAAGACTGGCCCACTTGTACTGCCGGGGACTCCAATACACCCAGCCCACGGAGTCGAAGTCGTCCGAGTTCGTGAGAATCCCTGTCGGGTTGGCGTTGTGGCAGACATTGTACCACCACCCGCCCTTGTACTCGTGCGCGCAGCTACCTGCAAAACATACAACATTGTGTGAAAATGCTACTCTGCAATAACAGAATGCAAGGCGGGTATCTTCCCTGCAACTAAACCACCATATCCTGGTGAGCAGAACAGCAACACCTCACTCCATTCGATTGGACCGATGCTCTATCACCCGAGCTATTGAGTGGTCATAATAAGGAAAGTTTCCTCACCTTTGTGTTTGTCGTTGTCCTTGTCGATGGTGGAGAACTGCATCCCGCTGTGCCAGAGCAGACCGTCTCCCAGGGTGCTGTTGGAGGAGTACATCACCGCCAGCAGCTTGTAGCTGTGGGAGACACGATATATCACAGTCTGGGGTGGTAAGGTGACCCCATGCTTCCTTCAGAAAACGGAGCTCTTGGCTCGTGGACTCATAGAAAAGAGAGAGTGGAGATTAATTATCAGAAAATTGGGGAGATTAACTCCTAAACATTTGCCAAAAGTCGGGGCCCAAGAAATGGAGCTCAGTTCTCACACAACTAAAAATACCCATTACCCCGGGAATGATAGTACCCATTGCGACTATGGTGAAGAACGGTCGTAATATGGATTGTTGGGCCTTTTCATATTTGAAAAACTAATCTACAATCAGCTTTACTCTTATCTAGCCAAACACAATATACTTAGCTCTTGCCAATATGGCTTCAGACCCCAAAAAAGCACTAACGATGCACTTATTAGTATGATTAACTTGATACATACAGCTCTTGATAAAAATAAGTTCCCTGTTGGGTTATTTGTGGACCTGCGTAAGGCTTTTGACACTGTCAACCACCAAAACCTTCTTCTTAAATTACATCATTATGGAGTCAGAGGTCACTCCCTGCAGTACCTCAAATCCTACCTTACTGACAGGCTCCAATATGTTTCTGTGAAAAGTTTAATTTCTCCCACCCTACCCATCAACATTGGTGTTCCTCAGGGCAGCATACTTGGCCCTCTCCTCTTTGTCATCTACATTAATGACCTTCCAAATGCCTCCCAACACCTCAAACCAATTCTATTTGCTGACGACACAACCTTCATTTTCTCCAGTCCTGACCCCCCCTTGCTCTAAATGTCACAGTGAATACTGAACTAAATAAAGTCCATCTTTGGCTAACTGCTAACAAACTCATCCTTAACATTGACAAAACTTTCTATATTCTGTTTGGCAATAAATCCTCAAATCAAATTAATCTAAGAATAAACAATATCCAAATTAGTAACAAAGTAGATGGCAAATTCCTTGATGTCCTCATCGACCACAAGCTGAATTTCCAGGGACACATTCTAAATATATATAAAAAAGTTTCTAAAACTGTTGGCATTCTTTCTAAGATCAGATATTATGTACCCCGCCCTGCCCTGGTGACTCTCTATTACTCCCTCATCTATCCTTATCTCAACTATGGTATTTGTGCTTGGGGTTCTACTACCCAAAATCATTTACGTCCTCTAATTACTCAACACAAAGCTGCTATTAGGACAATATCCAACTCTGGCCCCAGACATCACTCGGTACCCCTACTCAAATCTCTGAATATGTTAGATATTAAGTCACTACACATTCTCTCGTGTGTATTATACATATATAAAACGCTGAACTGCAATGTCAATCATGACCTTAAAAGCTTCCTAGAAGGTTGTAACAGAACCCATGAGCACCACACCAGAAACAAATACCTTTTTGATATTCCAAGAATACGACTTAATCAAACTAGAAATGGTCTACAAATCAAGGGACCCAGAATGTGGAATGACCTTCCCCATCATGTCAAAGACTGTACCTCTCTCAACCAGTTTAAGAGTAGAACTAAGTACTACCTAATTAACTCCATGTAACCTACCTTACCCCTAAATGTCTCGCTATTTTAAACAATGTTGTTTGTTGACCAACTTGTACAATTGCTAAGTTCTGCCATGTTCCCCCCCCCCCCTAATTTTTTAATTCTTTTTTTTTCAACACAATTTATACTTTACTCTCAATTACTATTAAGTTTTAGTCTAAGTGTCCCCCCCCCCCCTCACCTTGCCCGAAACGCTATGCGTATTAGTGGTTTTAGGTATTGTATGTACTAGCGCTATCTGTGGGACAATCTGACTCCAATATTTGAATTACTTAATGAGAACTTCAACAGCTACGAAGGACCTCCACTTTTTGTGAAAAAAATGGAAAACTAAAAATAAACAAGTGGACTGATATTTATTCCAAGAATTAGTGTCCTATGGATTTTAATGGGACTGTAATTTATCATGAAATAAAAGTTAAATTCACCTTCACAAATTGGAAGGTCCGTGTACTAAGATACGAGTCGTCTTAGCACTAATAATCTAATGCTCGATCTTCATTATAAACAAATGTAAATATAAATTCATATTATAGTACACACACATACAATCAAGATGAAGAATGGAATCAATTAGTAATGTATATCAGATATAAATGATAAGTAAATGACAATTTCAATAGAAATCATTTATGTAAATGTTAGTACTCTAGTAAAAATACTACACTACTAGAAATATAAGGCCAACTTAGCTCTTCCGTTGATTTGATTGTGAAAATGTCTGAAAGCAAGATTAAATGTACAATTTGTCTAGACTAGAATGACTATACCACTATTTCTGATTGAAAAGTGGGAGCCTGGGCTTAAGTGAAACTTTAACGATTCTTCGCGGCGGGGATCGTATTCCAAGGACTTGCCCGAAACGCTACGCGTACTAGTGGCTGTACAAGAATGTAACAACTCTTGTATATATCTCAAAAAAAACTAACATTGGTTAAGATGTTATCGCATGATGGAACGAACAACCTACACGTAAATGTTATTGAAATGCACCTATTAACAAACATCAGTAGGACAATAAAGAAATTACGCTCGCCGGAACTTGTGTTGAATGTAGATGGAGACTTCCACGAACTCTGGCACCCGCTGTTGCAAGGGTGACGTTAATATGAGTCGGTATAGTGGGAGCTCTGGCAACACAGTAGCTCTGGCAATATGGATGCCACGCTTCCTCTCTTGGCTGCTCCTTCCCCTGACTGCGCATGCGCGGCTCTCGGTAGGTACCTCGAGCGTAAATAAATTTATGTATTTCGAAGTTAATTACGTTAAGAAGAGGTTGTGACTAATATTTATGTCACAATTAAGTGTATCATGTTATAATATAACCTCTCGCAGCGTAAGTCGGTTTATTAAAGCTGCGTAAATAAATGATAGGAAAATAAAGTGGAATTATTTTACCCTTTAATTATTTCCACTGGAATGGTTAATTAACAAAATAAACGAGTTCCAGTAAGCAGTAATATGCTACGTAAATAAACTGATTAGTAAGCGATTATCCTTAGTAAAGGAAAGTAATTAACTGGACTCTGTTTAAATCCAACAAAGTGGAGATAATTTCAGTTTCTGGCTGACGCGACATCATGGAGGCTAGGAAAGATTTAGCGGTGTATTGCGTTGTAGTAAATATCAGTCTAGTTAATTCTACAAGTTAGTAATTTTAGTAACTACTTGTGGTTAATACAAAGATGTTGCATCAAAATACAAAATATGTACGAAAACTGTTGGTTATTTCCAACATAACTCCGGGGGGAGAAAACTCGGGTCGTAGTTCAGGTCTTAGTACTAACGTGCACCTGTCTCTCTATCCTGAAGTTATATTCACGTAAAATGTAAAATACCATGGCGGTCAGGATGGACATCAACACCTTTGCCTATAGGCCAATCTGACCTGGGTCCATCACTGTCTACTAGGACAAGATCACCTGGTTTGAGTTGAACTTTGTTGTACGGGCTTGCAGCTCCATAATGATATTCTCTTAGAGCAGTGAGGTATTCACGCGTCCAGACCTCATTCCATTTCTCTATTACTCTTGAAAGGTGTTTATAACTCTCCACCAAGTCACTCCCTCTGACACACGATGGGTCAGCTGGATCCTCGTCTCCTAGAGACATTAGAGGGCTCAGAAGACCACCATGAATCAAATGAGATGGGCTTAGGGGTTCTCTTTGGGAGAAATCTTCTGTTAAGTAGGTTAGAGGTCTGTTATTGACTCGTGCCTCAATCTAGGTGACAAGGGTTTGCAATTCGATGAGGCTAATTTTCTGTCTGTGAAGTGCCTTTCTTAAGCATTTTTTGACAGTGCCTGATATGCACTCATAAAAACCGCCTTGCCATGGGGCTCGTGGAGAAATGAATTACCAGTAGCATTGTCTCTGTTTGAGCACAGAGTGCACTTCTCGATGGTTCCATATTTCTCGTGAACAGGCTTCTCCTCCCACGAAGTTAGATCCATTGTCTGACATCATTAATTTTGGGCAAGATCTGCGTGCAGCAAACCTACGAAAGGCTTGGAGAAAGGCTTCTGCGCTCATGTCAGAAGTTACTTCTAAGTGTACGCCTCCTGTGGTAGCACACATGAAGAGGCAAATGCAGGCCTTCACCGGAATCTTATCTGGAGTGCCTGTTAAAATTAATGCTCCTGTGTAATCGACACCTGTGGTCTCAAAAAGACGAGGGTGGACAACTCGCTCCTTAGGTAGGGGGCGGAGGTCCTGGGTAAGGACACACCTCGTCCTCGACCCCCACACTCACCCATACACCTCGTCCTCAACCCCCACACTCACTTGTGGTCCTCGTCCTCGACCCGGAAGCGCCCCCAGACGCCCCACCGGCGGCTGCCGTTGAAGTCCTCAGCGTCGACCCTCAGGACGTGGGCGGCCTTGGCTGTCAGCTGGTGCAGGTACTCATTGCCTGTCGACCACAATATTAGTTGATTGACTGTTAAGAGGCGGGACCAAAGAGCCAGAGCTCAACCCCCGCAAGCACAACTAGGTGAGTACACCACCTACCTCAAAATATCGTTCAAAAACCTTACCTATCCTCCAATAAGAGCATCCTATTCTCATTTAATCCCATTCTATCCAAGCAGAGGACCCCGCCTAGCAGAGAACCCACCTAGCTGAGGATCCGCCTAGCAGGGAACCCACCTAGCCAGTACTCAGCAGTAACGTCGCCGAAGCCCTGTCTGTACTCCTTCCAGGTTCTGGTGAAGTTGACCTGCTTGGGTTGCTGCTGCCTGTTGAGGAACACCGTCCAGCCTCCCCCGTCCGTCTGCAGGTCGCACCACACCCTCACCGCCCGGCACCTGTGGGTGGAGACCGGGTGTAACAAGGTGTAGACAGAGACTGCAGCAACTTGGGTTATGTGTACGGCAAGGTGGCAGTCTAGGAAGCCCGCTGCTACTTACCGTCCCTGTAGCTCATGCGTGTCCCCAAGATGCACGTGTTCGATCCCTGGGCAGGGAACCAGTGCCACTATTTACGTAGTAGTGATATGGGTATCCAGGGAGTTAGGTGGATATTGTGACTTGCATTCTGTTAGGGAAGGTCAGTAGATGGTCAAGGATGACCTCTATAAGCCTACTGGACTTCCTATCCCTGTCAACAGGAATATATGCAAGACATTAATCCCCGTGGTGTAATGGTTAAGATGCTCGCCTGGCGTTCCGCGAGCGCTGTGTCATGGGTTCGTATCCTGGCCGGGGAGGATTTACTGGGCGCAAATCCTTAACTGTAGCCTCTGTTTAACTCAACAGTAAAATGTGTACCCGGTTGTTAAACGATTTTCCACGAGAGTTATATTCCAGGAAATATAGGATTAAGGATCTGCCCGATATGCTACCCATACTGGTGGCTGTCTACAATATATATGTATATTCAAGAATGTAAGAACTCATGTATATAAATACAAAATACATACATAATTTCACACTCCAGAGGAAAGCTAATGATACATCTGTTAATTTTGTAAAAACACACAGACCAGCTACAGTTTTTAATGTCACTGATTCTGTTGTTAATTGTAATTTGTACAATTCTCAGAAATATGCTATAGTTGATGCACAAAGTGGCGCATGTAATGCCACAGATGTACGGGCTCAACACCATGGGGATTGACAATGGACAACGATGCTCACCACCATGGGGATTGACAATGGACAACGATGCTCACCACCATGGGTATTGACAATGGAAAACGCAAAAACTAATACTCACTCCGAAGGGTAGATCTCGTACATGCCGCTCTCTGTCTCCCCTTCACTCTGGTGACCGGCACAATCCTTAACTCTACAGGGCAAAGATATGACAATTTTATTATCAGCCAAAAAAATATATTAATTACAATTAGGAATCGATAAGTGAGGATATAAACTGAAATATTATATTATTACATTGTATTATTGTCAAATACAGTGATATATACAAAAATATCAAATAATTATAATTTAGAACAATTAGAGCTTGTAGAGAAATAATATTTAAACCATTTGGAAAAACATTCAGCTTGTAATTTTTTTTTTTTTTTTTTTTTTGGGGGGGGGGGTTAATATTGTCGGTGAAGTATCACTAACAACAGATACTTCAACAAGACAATGAGATACTTCTGAACACTGTAAGCCATTCCTGTACCACCTGTTACTACCACAACCACCAAAACTACAACTACCACCCCAGTACCCACCAGGAGCCCCAGTACCCACCAGGAGCCCCAGTACCCACCAGGAGCCCCAGTACCCACCAGGAGCCCCAGTACCCACCAGGAGCCCCAGTACCCACCAGGAGCCCCAGTACCCACCAGGAGCCCCAGTACCCACCAGGAGCTCCAGTACCCACCAGGAGCCCCAGTACCCACCAGGAGCCCCAGTACCCACCAGGAGCCCCAGTACCCACCAGGAGCCCCAGTACCCACCAGGAGCCCCAGTACCCACCAGGAGCCCCAGTACCCACCTTGCCCCAGTACCCAGCAGCTTGGGCGCGGGCGTAGTGGGTGGCGGCGGGGGCGGCGACACAGTAACATTCTCACACACACAGTCTTCCCCAACGAAGTTCCTCTCCTCCAGTTCGGCTTCCGTGATATTCTCCTTACAGGGGCACATTGGCTCCTCAATCACCTTGTTACTCTTCTTGGCGCCCTCGACTGTGCCTGTCGGAGGCGGTAATGGGTCTCCTCGGGACCTCTGCAGCTGCTGGAGTTGTCGCTTGACCTCCAGGAGCTGTAGTCGAAGTTCCTGCTTGTCTTCTTGGAGGGCTTCGATCTGCGCGGTGCAGCGGCCATGTTGCGTCAGCAGCTCTTCGTTACGCTGCTGCAGAAGGGCGTGGTGTCGAAGTGCCAGGGATAGTAGCGAGTTGTGGCCTTCGTCCCCAACCCTCGCCACGGCTAGGAGGGGGGGGGGGATAGGGGTTAGTATGGCCAGGACCGTTGGTGATAAAGGGTTCCTCCTCATCCAACACCGTCCACAAACCCCTGGTTGGTTTTGTGGACAAAACCTACCAAAGTTTGTGGGTTTGTTATTCACCTGGTGGATGAATAACAAACTAATTTCTCATAGTTTATATCAACAGATCATAAACAAATTACTTCCCCAATTTACCTTTTACCTAAATAAGAATTAACACAACATAATTTACTTGATAGAAATTAGAACACTTAAGACGAATCTGTAAAAAGGGAGCATTTACCAAGACATCCCTGAGTTTGCCCATGTTTACTCAAGTTTACACGGGTTTACCCAAGACTCTTACCTTCCTCTGGGGTAACGTCGAGCAAGGTGACGGGGAGATCAGAAGGGAGGAGTTTCTGCAAGGAGCGGGTGACGTCTAAGAGCTGGACAAGGAGATCAGACGGCACGGTCACCATCTGCTGGAGCAAACTGTGGTGTATTTTTAACGAGGGCGGGGAATTTGGGTTAGTGTCCCGTTTAAATGAGGGAGGGGATTAGAGAAAACGGTAAACAATTACAGAAAACAGGTTGAGAGAGCGTGAGAGTGTATGAGAGAGACAGACAGACAGAAAGAGAGACGTTAGAAACGAAAACAACCCTTATACTCACATTACTAAACTCACCCAATAAACAGCCATACAAGGTCCTCTGCCCTTATAGTCTCAGGTTCGATTCCCGGGCAAGGCACGACGGAGGCGTTTGGGCACGTCCACTTCCTTACACCGGATGCCTCGATCTCTTCACCTAGCGGTTATAACACAGATTAATACGAGAAGTTTAAGTAACACGAGAAGTACATATGTTTTAAAGAATATTACCCGTTACCTGGGGACAGGAAGCATGTATTTAAGCCTATCAGGACCCCCTAGGCCTACCTCACAGGTACCAATGGAAAGGTAAGCAGAGGCTGATAGGAACCGTGCCCAACCGCCTCTGTTCCGCCCGAGAACCAAACCAGGATTCCCCGGTTGCGAGTTAAAGACGAAGACCATTGCGCTCCCAAAAAGGAAAGGGAGAACTGTTATATTCATAGCAAACGGCACCAGCCGTTTGCTATGCGCTGTGTTTCATACGCCAGCGGCAGGTAAACAACAGAGAGGGTACAGGACGCCCGCCGGCTTGGAAGCTGCTATGTATCATATTAAGTATTTAAGTATTAAAATACATTTTAAGTATTTAAGTATTACTAAAGTCAGTAACCAGGCAATGGCTTTATATCAACCCTACAGTCAAGACTTCCCCACCAACACACAACACTACAGGAACTATCAGTGGAAAGCCCCAAGCCATTACGACTTGGGAAGGGGTCAGGATAAGGGTTTTATTGATTTATTGATTGATTGATTGATTTACATACAAGAAGGTACATTAGGGGTTAACAGAGAACATGGAAATTAAGTTGATTTTACATTCTCGTAAAGCCACTAGCACGCGTAGCGTTTCGGACAAGTCCTTAAACTAACAGATAACTTTTAGATAATTCACAGTAAAATTGACAATTTTTTTTTACAGGTAATTTACAGCTTTACTTTACAGGTACAGATAATTGTAAGTAGAATAATTACAGTAAAATTGAAAAAAAATGTTTACAGGTCCATTGCAAGAAATGTTGACACAAAAGCAGATTAGAATAATGCACAATAATGAACAAGGATTACTAGGTACATTAGGATAACATTTCAGGGTTATAAATTGGTTCACTGAAGCACAATATGAGGATCATTTCAAGGAATAATGCAGTAGAATATACACTAAATACAACAACCATGATATCAGATGATATCTAAGATTACAATGGTTTATATCCAATGATTACAATGGATTGCAATGATTACGAGATTTGGGATGGGACGGGGGGAAAGGAATGTTGCCTAACTACTTGGACGATCGGGGATTGAACGCCGACCTGCATGAAGTGACCCTGTGATAATCTGTGACCCTCCCAATGGCCACAGATTAAGGGACACAGAGACTTGCTGACATTCAATGGTTGAAGGTTGATGAAAGAAAACGGTTGTTGAATAACATAACGAATGATAGAAAACAATTGTTTATGTAAAGGATAACTATTATAAATGTCATATTTCTGTAACAAAATTTATTTAAAGAAAATGTATGATTTCTGGGAGAAACTAAAACAAACAACTAAAAAAACCATTTGATAAAGAAAATTAATAGCTAGAAGATGAATAAAAAACTTATGCAAGAAAACGAATGATTGTGAAAACGGGTGATTGTGTGATTGTGCAGAACGAATAGTCCTGCAAGAAAATTTATGAATAAATGAAACAAAAATGAATGAGTCCTAGATAGAAACAGAGGACTTCAAGAAAGAAAACGTTCAGGCAAATTATATCAAAGAAACTGTAAATAATTACGATGACTGACATTTAAGGGGTAACCAACTTACTGATGAATTACTCTTGTGTTTGAAGAATGCCTTGCTGCCGGACATGGGTCCACCCACGACCACTCCCGCCCACACCACCACCAGCACCCACGCTCTACACCAGCACATTGCTCCCGGAGCTTGAATAAAAACAGTTTAACTGATCAGTAAGAGTATGAGAATTATGATTAATATTATTATACAATTGAAAGTTTACAATAATCTCTACCACCATGTTCTTGTCATATTTAATGATCTCTCTCCCACACAGAGAGAAAGAGCTTGGAGCTAAACCTTTATTATGGGTCAGGTAGCACAGTAGTCTACGTCCTGGACTCACAGTCGTCCAGGCTCACTCCTCAGGTAGGACAGAAACGGTTGGGCACGTTTCCTTTTACCTTGTCCTTCGATTGAGAGCTGAGAACAAAAATTACTGTGCTACAGGACCCATATACAGCCTCGTGCCTTCGTTATCAAGTGAGGACGTTTCGGTCCATCCCGGACCATTACCAAGTGACTATGCTTCGGTCTATCCTGGACCATTATGTGCCAAGTCGTGTAACGGAAAGTAAAGGTAATTTTCGGTAGAAGGCGCTAAGCTAGTATGTCTATATATAGCACCTTTCAGGGGTGATATGATTACAAGGAGCTGCGAAATGCGGACGAGGACAAGAAATTTAGATTAGTTTCCCATTCAAATGAGAGTGATTAGAGAAAATGGTAAAATATTTACAGAAAATGTGTTAAAGGGTTGATATATATATATATATATATATATATATATATATATATATATATATATATATATATATATATATATATATATATATATTTTATATATATATATATATACAGAGAGAGAAGATTCGAGAATAAGTTTGAAGAACAGGGAAGCATAAATAAGGGAGAAGTAAGGGAATAAGATAGAAATGTAAGAAGGAAGAAGAGATAAAGATAGAACAAGGGCGTCCTCCCAGGCAGGGAGGAGCTGTTAGCGAGACGCAGCAACAGTCTGATGGCTCCAAGCTTGTCGTAAACAGATTCAAATACCTTGGCCTTGAGGTGCCACTGTATGGTCCTGTTGTATTCAGACTCTGTCGTCAGTATAAAGAGAGGCTCCGAGCTCTCAAGGCTGTTGCAGGTTATCACTCAGGCTATGGTGCCAATGTCAGAATTGTCAAAATGTTGTACCTTGCATACATCAGATCTTTAGTGGATTATGCTGCACCTCTGCTTGTTTTGATGCCTGAAAGAAAGCTTGGAGGGCTTGAAAAATTGCAGAACGAAGCCTTGAGGATAATCCTTGGGTGCCCTCGTACCACAAAGATACTTAATATGAGAAAGGAACTTAATATTCTGAGCGTTGTTGATCGTGTTACTGAAATTAACTGTCAAATTGGTATAAAAATGCTTAGACTAACTCAACCTAATCCTTGCACAGAAGCCCTCCAGAATTTCTTTATTGAAGATCAGCATTGTTCCAAATGGATAACAAAAACTGGAACTCAACTCAGAATGTACCAGGTTCATGACTTGTACCAAGAGAAACAACAACGGCACTTTCCTGCACCGTGGGAGATTACACCCTTTCCAGTTTTAATCCCTCCCTTTCCACCCAAGAAGCAAATTAGAGATCAGCCCAAGCTTCGTCTTGAGGCAAAGCTCAACGCCTTAAGCCATATTGATGCTCTGTCCACAGAGCATTCTCTCTCTCAAATCATATACACTGATGGTTCCCTACACCGCCCGGCCTGACGGCTCAGTGAACAGCGCTCGGTATTCGTAGACCTCTAAGGAACCGGGGATCTATCCCCGGCGATGGCGGAAACAAATGGGCAGAGTTCATTTCACCCATATGCCCCTGTTCAGCTAGAAGTAAATAGGTACCTGGGAGTTAGACAGTTGCTACGGGCTGCTTCCTGGGGTGTGTGTCTGTGGAAAAAAAAATTTGACAGTTGAGAAGCGGGCCGAAAGAGCCAGAGCTCAACCCCCGCAAGCACAAATAGCTGAATACATCTATGGGTCATCCCACACATTCAGCAGACTACTAGAGGCTACTCTAGAGGCTAGTCTAGAGTAGCCTAAACTTTAAAACTCTACAACCACTACCACCACCAATTACCACCACCACAACCCGTACTACCATCCCTACAACCACCACCACCACCACCACCACATCAACAAACTGGACACACTCCATAAAGGACGGATGCTCATTTGATTACCTTCATAAAACTTCGCATAAAGACACTATTCAGAGTGTCATTAACAGAAATGTGCGTCTTTTACTGGTATTTGAGTGCGATTACTGGTATTTGAGTGCGATTACTGGTATTTGAGTGCGATTACTGGTATTTGAGTGCGATTACTGGTATTTGAGTGCGATTACTGGTATTTGAGTGCGATTACTGGTATTTGAGTGCGATTACTGGTATTTGAGTGCGATTACTGGTATTTGAGTGTTTTATTGAGTATCTAAGAGTGTCTTACTGCCATATGAGTGTTCTGCTACTCAACAGGAGCCACCACTACCCAACAGGAGCCACCACTACCCAACAGGAGCCACCACTACCCAACAGGAGCCACCACTACTCAACAGGAGCCACCACTACCCAACAGGAGCCACCACTACTCAACAGGAGCCACCACTACCCAACAGGAGCCACCACTACCCAACAGGAGCCACCACTACCCAACAGGAGCCACCACTACCCAACAGGAGCCACCACTACTCAACAGGAGCCACCACTACCCAACAGGAGCCACCACTACTCAACAGGAGCCACCACTACTCAACAGGAGCCACCACTACCCAACAGCAGCCACCACTACCCAACAGGAGCCACCACTACCCAACAGGAGCCACCACTACTCAACAGGAGCCACCACTACCCAACAGGAGCCACCACTACTCAACAGGAGCCACCACTACTCAACAGCAGCCACCACTACCCAACAGGAGCCACCACTACCCAACAGGAGCCACCACTACTCAACAGGAGCCACCACTACTCAACAGGAGCCACCACTACCCAACAGCAGCCACCACTACTCAACAGGAGCCACCACTACCCAAAAGCAGCCACCACTACTCAACAGGAGCCACCACTACTCAACAGGAGCCACCACTACCCAACAGGAGCCACCACTACTAAACAGGAGCCACCACTACCCAACAGGAGCCACCACTACTCAACAGGAGCCACCACTACTCAACAGGAGCCACCACTACTCAACAGGAGCCACCACTACTCAACAGCAGCCACCACTACTCAACAGCAGCCACCACTACCCAACAGCAGCCACCACTACTCAACAGGAGCCACCACTACCCAACAGGACCCACCACTACCCAACAGGAGCCACCACTACTCAACAGCAGCCACCACTACTCAACAGCAGCCACCACTACCCAACAGCAGCCACCACTACCCAACAGCAGCCACCACTACTCAACAGGAGCCACCACTACCCAACAGGAGCCACCACTACCCAACAGGAGCCACCACTACTCAACAGCAGCCACCACTACTCAACAGCAGCCACCACTACCCAACAGCAGCCACCACTACTCAACAGGAGCCACCACTACCCAACAGGAGCCACCACTACCCAACAGTAGCCACCACTACTCAACAGCAGCCACCACTACTCAACAGCAGCCACCACTACCCAACAGCAGCCACCACTACTCAACAGGAGCCACCACTACCCAACAGGAGCCACCACTACCTAACAGGAGCCACCACTACTCAACAGGAGCCACCACTACCCAACAGGAGCCACCACTACCCAACAGGAGCCACCACTACCCAACAGGAGCCACCACTACTAAACAGGAGCCTCCACTACTCAACAGCAGCCACCACTACCCAACAGGAGCCACCACTACCCAACAGGAGCCACCACTACTCAACAGCAGCCACCACTACCCAACAGGAGCCACCACTACTCAGCAGCAGCCACCACTACCCAACAGGAGCCACCACTACCCAACAGGAGCAACCACTACCCAACAGGAGCCACCACTACTCAACAGGAGCAACCACTACCCAACAGGAGCCACCACTACTCAACAGAGGCCACCACTACTCAACAGGAGCCACCACTACTCAACAGCAGCCACCACTACTCAACAGGAGCCACCACTACTCAACAGCAGCCACCACTACTCAACAGAGGCCACCACTACTCAACAGCAGCCACCACTACTCAACAGGAGCCACCACTACTCAACACCAGCCACCACTACTCAACAGAGGCCACCACTACTCAACAGGAGCCACCACTACTCAACAGCAGCCACCACTACTCAACAGAGGCCACCACTACTCAACAGCAGCCACCACTACCCAACAGCAGCCACCACTACTCAACAGGAGCCACCACTACCCAACAGGAGCCACCACTACTCAACAGGAGCCACCACTACCCAACAGGAGCCACCACTACCCAACAGGAGCCACCACTACTCAACAGCAGCCACCACTACCCAACAGGAGCCACCACTACTCAACAGGAGCCACCACTACCCAACAGGAGCCACCACTACCCAACAGGAGCCCCCACTACTCAACAGCAGCCACCACTACTCAACAGCAGCCACCACTACCCAACAGGAGCCACCACTACCCAACAGGAGCCACCACTACCCAACAGGAGCCACCACTACTCAACAGGAGCCACCACTACCCAACAGCAGCCACCACTACTCAACAGGAGCCACCACTACCCAACAGGAGCCAACACTACCCAACAGGAGCCATCACTTCCCAACAGGAGCCACCACTACCCAACAGGAGCCACCACTACTCAACAGGAGCCACCACTACCCAACAGGAGCCACCACTACTCAACAGGAGCCACCACTACCCAACAGGAGCCACCACTACCCAACAGGAGCCACCACTACTCAACAGGAGCCACCACTACCCAACAGGAGCCACCACTACTCAACAGGAGCCACCACTACCCAACAGGAGCCACCACTACCCAACAGGAGTCACCACTACCCAACAGGAGCCACCACTATCCAACAGGAGCCACCACTACCCAACAGGAGCCACCACTACCCAACAGGAGCCACCACTACCCAACAGGAGCCACCACTACTCAACAGGAGCCACCACTACCCAACAGG